AGAGTAGGATCAATTCCTTCCTCTGGTTTCATTTGTAATTTACATACTGCTATCAATGCTCCGTCAGTAAGGACTCAGATCATTTGCATAACTCAATTTCACAGTGGTGAGGGTGTTTGGAGAAAAAGCATAATTTTTCTGCATATATTGGAGTTTTAAAAAATGTGTCAGATTTTCCTGTGCAGTAGAAATCTTAGAATTGAAGAAGCATTTACGGAAGCGAATGATGATTCAGTCATTTAATACAACAGATTCTGAAGTGTCCTTGCAAACCTATGTACAATTTTGAAGTGAATTCATCTTGATTTTTTACAGAATCCTGATTGTAATACACATGAATGGAGTCTTGGCTTTACTTTCTAAGCAAAGTACACAAATCTTTATTTTTTTGTGGTTTCCAAAGCACTATTACTAGAAATAGTGTACTAAAAAAAGCATCATATAAGTACAGATCTCACTTTATCCACAAAGTTGCAGGCTAAAGTTAGACTTCAGTAATATTAATAGCTTAGTAGCAAAAGTAATATTAATAGCTTAGTAGAAAAACATCTAAAGATAAAAACATGATGCTCGTTATCCACCTACACTTTTATCAAATATTTGGTACTTAAAGTAGTTATGGTAATTTAATAATAAAAAAAAGCTTCAAGATATATTTTTATTTTATGTATCATTTGTGACTTCTTGAAATGTCATGAGATGTGATTCAAGCCATTTGGAAGTCTATGGAGAGATTTTAGTGGATTTAAGGGGGAAAAAAAAAGAGCAAAAACTCCTAAATACTCTGTAGAGTGAGGGTTGTAATGTCTTACTGCTGAAAGTGACAAGCATTAAGATTTCCCATGGTAGAATTCTTGCTCACTTTGTCTTCATTTCTACCCTCAATACACAGCCCAACCACCATCACCAACTGGTATGAATGTTAAAGGGAAAAATAATGTTGTAAAGTACTTTTTCATAGAAATTGACTGCTAAGAGATTATTTTAAAACCTGAGTTCATTCTAAAAGCAATATTGGCAATTATAAAATGGGGGTGGGGGGAAGAGAGCATTTATGCATAAGCTTTTGAGTGAAAAGTTATCTTTCCATTATTGTTAACATTTCTTTTATTTCTTTTTAGCTAAAAATTATTCTTTCAATTCTGTATCAGAGTTTACAATGTAAGAAATTGAGGCTTCCCTGGTTCCTTTGAGAGATTGTGTGCATTTGTTTGATGTACTGCAGTTTTCAATATAAAACCTCAACTGGGCTTAAAAATGGGAGTTTTCACCTCTGAAAAGTATATTATTACAAAGTTACCATGCAATAAAAATGAACATTATAAAAATGGGCTTTCTGTGAGTTATAACTTCATATCCAGCCTCTCTAAAATAGAAGACTTGTTTTGCAATTTCCTTCAGAAAGGATAAATTTCTTATCCCTTAAAAGGAAAAGAAGAAAAAAAGAAGACAGACCTCACAAAAGGAAAGATTAATGGATCCTGCACAGGATCTAATCAGATAATACTAATGCACAGATATTAATGAAGTTCTATTCACTGTACTGAAGAACTGAAATATACTTTGTCCCTTTAACCTTCACCATTGATGTAGTGATTTGAAGACTGTGAACTTGGTGTTTCATCACTGGATCCTTATGCTTTTGTTATAGCAGGAAATAATGAAGGCATGATCCAAAAGCCATTTAAATAATGCTCTCTGTATAGCAGACACCAATGATAACTAGATAAGAAGAAACAAAAAAAAAGAAAATATTTTCCTTTCATTTTATCAGTCTTTCATTAGTGTATGTAGCGTGCATTTTCTTCATTATATTAGCTAAGAAATGTTGAAATATTTACGCCAGGTCAAGAGCTCTTTCACATTAATCATAGTTTAGATATTTTGTTTGATTTTCCCAGATTATGTTCGACCTCAAACCCTGATTGACACCTCTGTATTCCCCACAGTATCTGAGGTTGTATATTTTAGAGCAACAGATTGAGGATGATGACTGTAGCTTTCGTAGAAATTGCCACACCCCAAGACAGAAGACAGGCTCTGCTAGAAAGAACTGAAAATAACAATACTGAAAATAAAATCACTGGATATTGTAAAATCCATCAGTCAATCCATAATTACCCTCTTGTAAACACCAACTCTTATCTACTGCATACATCCATAGATTAGATCTTTAAAATTTATTTCTTTATTTTTCATTAACAAGGATCCTTATATATTTTGAATACTGCCAGCAGCATTGAGTACCAGAAGATATCTGAGGGAATCCTAGGGAAGGATTCATGTTGCTGAGAACAGATGTTTGCTTCTTTCAGTTATTGAGACTCCCTTACTAGTGACTGGTGAAAAACAGGCATTCACCAGCTGATATCTTTCCTGGAATAATTTTGCTACAGTCACACTAAGGAGCATATGGTGATTTTCTCAGATGTACATGGCTACGTTAGAGAAGGTTGAACATGCACTTAGTAAGTAAGGCTGTTTAGAATATGTATCTGCACCGCTGTTAGTTTTTCAACCTTTTCTATAAGGAAATACTTTCCTAATGAATGTGTATTTTTGGTGAATTCCCTACTAGTCTAACACTCCCTTATAATAAAAATTCATATGCAAAAACACTTATTTATTATTTCAGTTATTAAAGTTTTAAAGGAGTCTTCTTTAATCAATATAGAAACATGGGGGTGTCTTAAAATTATTTTAAGTATTTCTTTTTTGTTGTGTTGGTCTATTAAAATAAAATTAAAATTTATATAATTTTCTGAGTACATATATGGTATACATTTTGTCTATTAAATCAGAAATTTAATAATTTCTTTACTTTGAAGGACTGTGCTGTTTACATTAGTATGTCAGAAACAGGTAACTTTTCTGCAGTCTCATATGTTTCCATGTGTTTGATTAGGTGTCACTGCAATCTCAATCACGCAATTTCAAGAGATACCCCTCATTAATGAGGCTGAATTAGCTTTCCTTTCTCCACTACATACTTTTGTACATTCTGACTGCAAATATACTGTTTGCAAAAGGTTCAGTGTTTTTGTTTATTGAGGAGGAGTTTTGGTTTTGGTGTTTTTTGTTGTTTTTTTTTTTAGTTCAACAAATGTTAGCCTTTTGCCTTTGACATTTTTCAAATTATCATTTATTTATTATGCTGTTTTTTCAAGTTTTAATTTTTTAATTAATATTTTGCTTTTATTAGATAATGTGATGTCTTAAGATATTTGTGTGCTTGTTTGTGCTCATCTAGTCATATCATTTGCCTAATTGTTATCACTGCAGAATGAAGTTTCTGAGCCAGTTTTCCTTATTCCAGCATCACATTGCATTTGCAATATGGTTGTGAGGTTGTTTCATAACACATGTATTGTACTTTAAATATAAAACCAAAGTGAAAATAAAAAAAAACCTATTAAACATGCTTTACTAATGAATACTGACCAGCTGTATCCAGTACAGGGACCAGTATCCAGACAAACTTTCTATTTTAGCATATCTGTTTTACAAGAGCTGTGGGTACTGCAGCTTTGATTCAGTTCAAGAAGTGCTTGCATAATATGAGGATCACATGTATTCCCAAATGGAGAAGACTTTTGCTGCCACACAGAGTTTGTAAAAGTTCAGTGCCTTTCTGAGTGTGCTGTGCTGCACTTCATCTTTCATATTTAAATCTAGACTGTTTGCAGCTGTATTATAGCGTCAGCATAATCGCTGACTTTAAGATGCTCATTTGGGATTTATCCGACTGTAACTAGATGGAGAACTTAGGCCCTTGTAGGTCAACAGATGTGTGTTTCACCTCTGCTGCTCCTCTGAGTGAAAACTGGAATGTTTCACAGATGCTGGAGGATTAATTTGCAAGCACATCTCAGATCCCTGTGATGTATTCAGTAGCAGAACTGCAGAAAAACATTTTTAATCTGTTTTATACACTTGGAATTGTAGTTTGAAGATGTGGTTGAGTAACCAGACTGCAGCTTTAGAAGTGCTTCAGCTAGGTGTTTTGCTGTTTTTTTTAATTACTTAAACTTGGAATTTTAAAGGAATAGTTAGCTGGATATTTGGTGCAAGCTGACCAACTAAGACTATAGATACAGAGTAAATGGTTCTAATATTGATTTGATGTTTTCTTTCAGTAATTTCATGTGAGCTAAAATTATTTTTTCCTCAAATAAAATTTTCCTATTTCTGAAGAATCTGAATAACCTCAGATCACAGATATCTCATTTGTTGTGGGTGGTAGTTTTTGATTCTAATGCAGTATTTATTATAAAAGAAACTGTACTTCCACTGAGGATAATTAAAAAATTAAAAATAAAAGCAGAAGGAAGATATAAAAATTTGTGTATTTTGTTTAATAAAAACAAACCAAAACAATCTCAGTACAAAATATTGTGATATAAGCAGTGTCATTTAAGTCATTGCCACATTTTCTACACAAATTTATAAGAGCTTGGAGAAAAAATTTTTTAGTCAATCCTAATACTATGCAAAAACCAATAAATTCAATTTAAAACAAAAAAAAAAATCTCACCCATAATTTTCTGAATGAGGTGTTTTCACCTGTAAGTAACCTTTAAAGATTATATTGAGTTCTTATGTCTGGGTAGTATGCTACAGTTTATTTGCCATTAGCTTAGATAAAATTTTAGTGAGACAAAAATAAGTATTAATTCACAATAGTGAAATAATCAGTGAGAATCTGGTCCTTACAGAAGTTACAGAAAGTTTTGCCATTATCTCATAAATTTGTTTCACTCACAAAGGAGAACTATCTTTATCACTAAAGTCATTGCAGAGTATTCACTAGTGAGACTCTGCAAATAATGTTTCGAGAAAGCTAAAAAATGAACCATCAGCTATGGTCAGTCAGTCAGAAGTGTTGTTTGTATACAAATGGCCAAGCTCATTTCATTTTATACTTATGAAAGTTTTAAGCAGAACAGTTTTGCGTCAACATCACTGAATAATAAAATTTCCAAATAATTTTACCTGTATAGGAGCTGGATTTTGAAGCTAAGACAAGCTATACCTTGAGGATAGAAGCAGCCAATATGCATGTTGACCCTCGTTTCCTGAGCCTGGGGCCCTTCAGTGATATGACAACAGTGAAGATAATCGTAGAAGATGTTGATGAGCCGCCTGTGTTTACTTCACGTCTGTACTCCATGGTGGTGTCTGAAGCAGCAAAGGTTGGCACCATCATTGGAACTGTAGCGGCCCATGATCCAGATGCCTCAAATAGTCCTGTCAGGTAATTGTAAGAGATCTTAATTATTTATTCATCCTTTGCATTGAAGCCGTTCATCTTGTACTGGGAAGGTATTTGGTTACACTGAAAGTAATTAATAAGTGTTCTTCCTTTGCAGAGAGACATTCAGATGTTCTATGAGATTGCATGGTTTAACTTTTATAACCTGAACTACAGAACCTCTGAAAAAAAAAAAAAAAAGTTTAAATCTCTGTGAAGCAAAGAAGAGAAGATAAAGTTTCAGAATACCAAATGAAAAATTTACCTAAAAATATTGCTCATATTTATTACTCTCTATGCTTAGGAAGAGTCTATTATTATCTCTAGCAAGTTATATTCTCTTAAATCAACCAGGATCAAAAATTATATCTATAATATACATGCATGCTTGAATAAAGATTCATAGTCTGTGTCCACTAGGAATCAGAAGGTAATGGGACATCAATTCCCACATGGAGCTGAGGTCCCATGGCAGGAAACATTAGCAAGAACTCTGTAGATGAGAGAAGTGGACGGGATGAAATGCATCCTGTTCCATTCAAGATAGTTAAAGGCTTTTGGTTTTGTACCTTTTACTGTGGCCAAGTATCTTCCACTTGAACTGGAAGAGATATGATCACTGGAGATTCTTAAACTGTCAAGGCCCTCTTCCTTTGTCTTCAGTGTCTGAAAAACCTGCAGGTCTTACACAATACAATGTCCAAGATCATTAAGAAATCATAAGAGAACACAAATTCTCAGTCTTGTTTGCCTGTATCTAAGGTCAGATCTCAAGGGCAAAGACTCACCACCTTAGCTAAACCACTAATGAACTACTTGTTATTTTTCTTATGCAGAGTAGTATTATTAATTCTCAAAGGAACATGCAAAGCATCTAGAAAGTAATGGTTATAACTTAGGAATTCTGTGAATTTAAACACCTGCAGGGGGAGGAACTCATATACCATTAAAAGTTACTGCTTAGTTTCTTTTGTTTTTATTGCTCACTTAGGGCATACATAGGAAAGATCTTTGTGGGTATTTGTTTGGGTGTCACTTGTTTTGGTAATGTTAAATCTTTCCTTTCATGCATTGAAAATGGGAGCTTGGGAATCTAGTGTAATTTCTAAAGCAGAGATCTTATGTTGCAAAAGTAAAGCATATGTTTCACTCCTAGAGGTGATGCAAGTGTTCTATCTTTTTCGTTATATATTTGCAGCATATTCAAAATAGCTGATTCCTATCATGTATAAACAAGTCCTAGATGAATCTTTGGCATTGATTTACTTGTGAAATTTATCTTTGCTGTGGCAGTACTTTTTGGCACCAATGTTAGCATCTGGTGTATGATATCTGGTTACCAGAATCATTTAGAACAGGCTTAAACACAGTTCCACTAGTGCAGGCCATGCTCAGAATTCTTTTGACTCCTTTGCAAACATAAAGATGAGTTTGTTGGCCTTGATCTGGTTAATTTTTACAATTCCAGCATAAAAAATAATTATATCACCTGCTAACATCTTGAAGATTTCTTCTGTTTCAAAGTTTCTTGAAATTTTAGGGAGAGGAAAAAAGAAAAGTAGTGAGGATTTATCAATATACTTGTGAACCTCCTATGTACATGGTCAAAAGTACTGAAAGATCATAAATTTAAAGCTGTTCTACATATGCTATGATACATCAGAGACAGATTCACCTAAAATTGGAATGTGCTAAGTAGGATTAATGCATAAAACTTTTCATGATCTGTTTAAGGAGTTTAAACTATTAATCTATAAATAAGTATTCCAACTTCCAAACATTGGATTATATTGATACTGATTAAAAACTAGATTTGTTACAATTCATAAAATGTTGAAATTACAAGATCAGACACAGAACCTTGACAATACCAAGGACTAGGGAAAATAATAAATGTTTTGAAAATAAGAGGTTATCTTATAAGGAACAGAGAACTATTGATGTTTGAACTAGCTTAAATAAAGGATTTAAAACTCCTGCAGCTCAAAGATTTCCAAGTACTATGGCTGTGAGGAATTAAAGGATTAAATGTATTTAAAATATTTTTTTTAGAATTGAAGTATGGATACAATGCTTATAAATAAGGGAAACTGCTTGCTTCCTATGAATAAAATTATTCTTCTTCTTGTTTCATAAGGATCTGTCATCCAATTTATATAACTTGTTTACTTTTCCTCCCTCTTTCCCTGTCTCCCTCCTTGTCTCCCTCCTTTACTGCTTTCTTCCTTTTCTTCTTTCTCACCTCTCCATGTCCTCCTCCATTTCTCTTTCTCCTTTTCTTTTACTTCTTATCATTTGACTCTTCAAGCTGCATAGTGATAGTCTTAATAACTGGGAAATCTAAGGATTTCTAAGGGAAATCTGGCAGGAGACTGAATCTCAGCTATGAGGCCTGCCAAGATTGACTACACAGCGGAGGTGACAGGTATAGTCTCGTGGGGAAACTTGCCAGCCACAAAGCAGCTGTAGAGCACTGCTGACCAAATAAACAGCAGTTCTGGCAAGAAACAAAGTGAGAAATGGCCTACAGTTAAGAAAAAGTGAAAGAAGAAAAGAAAAAATGAAAGAGGGAAAGCGGTAATCCACAAGAAATACTGTTGTTACAGCTCATTCTCTCACTGTGACACAATACAGCAAAACAGTTCTAATTATCTGACAAAGGCTCTGCACTTAGATTGGACACTTAAGGGGGATAGACAAAAACACAGCAATACAGTAAAGAAGATGATATACTACAACACAGAACAAATAGTTTCATAAAATCACTGTGTCCAGGAAGTCCCATTTTTTTAATTGCCTTGCATAATTCTTTCTTTCCATGTTGTTCAAAGAATTTGGTTTTTGTTATATCAATAATCTAATATATCATCACTCTGTCAGTAATTGCAATGATAATACTTGATCTGGTTCAGACATTTTAATTCATCGTGAGTGTAAGGAAGTGCTCTGGAGTACATACTTGACCTAAATGAGAGTGCAAGAATATAACCCAATAATAAATCTAATGTCAAGAATATTCCAACTGTAAATCTAAATCTGCCTAATCAACTGTCCCTTACTCTCAAAAGAGATATAAACAAATCACCCATAGGTATTTTGACCTTTTCTCTTATGCTACTTTCAGTTTTCTAAGGAGCTCCTAAGAGGATCCTCTTCCTAAAACAAATTGGGAGGTAAAATAATGTTAAGCCAAAGAGTTAAGAGCATAAGTCCCTGTTTGTCTAATGACAGTAAAGCACTGTGATCTGGCAGTGATCACATGCAATCTCTTGACCCTAGTCTGCATCACCTTTCCTTTTTCCCTCTTCCCCTGCAGCTCTGGGTGACTCAGGGGCTCTTCTGCTGATGACAGAAAGCTCTGCGCTCAGGTTGCCAGCCCCCATGGGATCAGTGCCTGGATGGTACAGCCTTGTAGCAAATTCCAACTCACCTTCTCCTTAGCTGGCTCTCAGGAGGATACCGTTTGATTAATTCCTGAGTTTGCTTCACAGCAGAGAGGAGGAAAGAAAAGAAGAATACCTACAACCTCACTTAACACTGTGGGAGTGGAGCCTGCCACTGTCAGCACAAGTCACTGTGTAATTCTCTCACCTTTGCATGTGGCTTTGCTTCTCTCAGCGCCCCAGGGAAACTCGACTGAGCAATGGTCAAACTGGGGAAACAGTGGAAATGCTTTCCCTCTAATAAGAAATCAGTGAAATATTTTTACAAGCTGTAATTGAACATAAATGAAAACTTTCTATCCTCCTTTACCTAGGTATTCGATAGATCGAAACACAGACCTGGAGAGGTATTTCAATATTGATGCCAACAGTGGAGTCATTACAACTGCCAAATCTTTGGACAGGGAAACTAATGCTGTTCATAATATCACAGTTTTGGCCATGGAAAGTCGTAAGTATCCGTAGAAAGATTTTTATCTACAGTTTATGTGTAAAGCTTCAGGCTTGGTTTTGATGAGCTTCATTCAGAGAAATTCTGGCAGTTGCAAGCTTTGGCACATAAAAATAACTTATTACTTAATGCAAAAGAAATCTATATGATAAAAATTTAAAAATACAACCATTTAGGTGTTTGCTCTTTCATTCCCTTCACGCCTTGTGTATTCTTTTTTCTTTAGAAAGACAAGTACAAAGTTACAAAGTACAAGAAATATGATAAGTCAGCAGTCTCACACTAAGTCTGATTACAGGAAAGGTGATATAGAAGATGGGGGAGAGTGATTACCCCATCTCAGTGAGGGCTGTCAGAGCTGATTGCTGTTGGTCAACCACAGCATTCTCAGAAAAAAAGGGGATGTGAATGCTAATGTGGTTTCATTTTGACTGTAAGGTACCACTGTAGAAGTCATTTTGTACTTGGTATCTTTTTTTGGTGTAAGATGAAAAGTGTTAAAAAATGTAATGCTTCAAATGGATACAGGAATTCTTGTAATGCAGGTTCAAACCTAAACTTGTTATGCTTTGAATACATTTTTGAAGTGTTTTTATATTTGAAGAATTTATATCTTTAAATTTCATCTTTATTACTGCTCTGTTGGGCTGTGATAATAAAAACATTATCAGTTTTCTGGCTTGTTGTTGTAAAAATCATGATTTCTTGATTTCAGTGAGCTTAATTTAACATTTAACCTGAAAGTTAAGATTTATCATTTAGTGTCTCTATGAATTTATCTTGTATTACTCTACTTGATCACAAGTAGAATTTTGGTCTAAAAACCCAAAATGAAAACCAAAAATTTTCCTGGGTGGTAGCAAAACTGATGAGATAGACAAGGGGAATACCTGACAAAAATGACAGTCTAAAAACACAAGTAACTGTACTAACTTATATTCATGCCTGCTTGATTTTCAATAAGTTTACTTCAATAGATGAAAATTTTGGTGTCAAAATGGCTTACTTTGGTATTTCACATGTGGTATAAAAACAAACAAATGAAAAAAAACCCACTTTGTGATTTACATTTAGGTGCTTGAAATATTTATTTATATGTGGTTGCACAACACTATAAAATGATAGATACATATTTCAAGTTTTGTAAAGTTTCTCATTTTGTCCTGTTGCAACACTAATTCCAACATTTTTGGTAAAAAAGGACTATAACAACTCTATTCTCTGCTCCAAAAGAGAGACTAAAAGAAGTATTGCACTGACTGATGCTTATGTCCATATATATGCTTAGTCCAAAATATAATTAGTGTTTAAGGTTAAACTATGACATTGGAAACTGAATATATTCAGAGTTTAGCTAGAAATGTGTATCAGTTTAGGATGTGATTTGTATTTAAGCTGTTCAATATATTAATGACTGTATTGAAATGCTTAGCTGTGTGTGCACTGTAAATACTTTGGGATTTGATTCAGAATGCAGCCTTCTTTTCTCTGACACGTAGCTGATAAAATTCTGATTTTGACTTCTTAATAGACTGATCCATATAAAGTTCAAGGAAAAAAAAAAAAGTTGAACCCATAATAGTCCTGCTATTCCCAGTATGAATAGTGATGTCTGGGCTAGCTTGGTGATGATTTTATATCATCTTGCTCTTATCCTTCCATGTGATTTAATTCGATGCTGTGATTAGTGAGTTAGATTTCCAGTTCATCCTGAAAGTAAAATCTTAGGTTAATTGAAGCAGCTGGAGCACATAAATGTTGGTCTGGAAGTTCAAGACAACAACTTCCTTTGTATTTGAGGGAGGGATTATAATTGATTTGACATGCATATCCAAAAGAAGAATGCAAGTGAAAACGATAATGACCTTCAGAATAACTTGCAAGGATCTCCTCTTAATTGTTTTATTGGACATTTTCCTACAGAGAATCCAGCACAGATTGGGAGAGGCTATGTAGCCATCACAATCCTTGACATCAATGACAATGCCCCTGAGTTTGCCATGGAGTATGAGACAACTGTCTGTGAAAATGCTCAGCCTGGTCAGGTATGTCTTGATAGGTTTTATGTTTATTTTTACCAGACAAACAGCCATTCCTTATGAAAGTCTTCCAGCTTTAAGACAAAGAAAAATCATCTTATAACAGTAAAAATGAGGCTCTGATGAGCAGTACAAGCAAACAATAAGAAAGATGCAGGTGTAAAAAATATTGGTTGAAAGTAATGTTAAAATCTCTGGCTTTCTTACTTGTATAACTGATGTATTTTGCTTAACTCACCTAATTATGAATAATACTGAGAATGTATACTTCCTCCTAATTTTTTTGGGAAGTGGGAAGCAGTAACACAAGGGTTATTCTGAGACTAAATGCCCACCATTCTGAAAATGAGTAGACACTTTTAATCCCCCTAGGAAGTAGGGACCATAAGGACACAGTTTAACAAGGGGAATATATTCCTAATTTTTATTTCTATATTTTTTACTACCCAAATATCTTCCAAGTGGTCCTAGACTTATACTAAATTTATCACTTGTTTGTCCATAGTGTCCCTTATATTTGGCCTTTTCATCTCTACTTTGGAAGACCTCACAAAATCCATGTGCTTTCTCAGTCTCTCTTCCCACTGCCAGAAAACTAGAAGACGCTGCAACTGCATAGATCCCACATATTTCCTGGAAGACTTCACACTTTTGTGCCTTCTCCCAGTGTATTGTCATTCCTGCAGTAGATGTTTACTACACATTTCAAAATCACCTCATAATTTAAATTCTGATAAAAAAACACTATGATTATTAGCTTGTGTTCACGAGAAACACAGAGTATTCATGCTCTTATTGTTGAGGCTCCCTGTTTTCCCTGTGCTCTGATCAGAACTGGACCAGAGAATTGGAATTTCCAATTTTTGTGGATTTTTAAGTAGTGGTGACACTTTCTTTAGAGATAGATTTTGACAGAACTTTAGAAAATTAAATTTAAAAAATAATAGTAGTGAAATTCCAGAAAATGATAATATACTTATGATGTGCCTTTCTGTTTTTTATTATATTAAAAAAAAAAAAAAAGAAAAAAAGAGTGCATTAATTCAAATGCTCAAAAACATCACGGTTTCCGTGTGAAGGTTTGCAACATTGATTGCAGCCACTGATAACTGCACTAAGAACCATCCAGAAGATAATTCTTCCACTGATATATAATTTATTACTCCAAGCTTTGATGAATGACAGGACCTAATTTTCTCCCAGACCCTGCAGAGCATTGCTTTGGCCAATAAATTTGTTACAGGTAAAGAGCTGAGTCACCCATTAATAATCTCTGCATGCTTAAGAGTTTAGAAGACCAAAATGCAAGATGATTAGAACTCAAGGGAGGGTTGATATTTTGATAGGTAACAGAATGGTTAGGTAATGTACATGTACATATGTTCCAATGAAACCCTGATGTATCTCAAAACAGGTGATCCAAAAAATTAGTGCAATTGATAAGGATGACCCACCAAATGGCCATCAGTTCTACTTCAGTTTAACAGCAGAGGCAGCAAATAACCACAATTTTACATTGCAAGACAACAAAGGTAAGAAAATTTTGATTTGGCAAATACTCACCACTGGCACCTTCCATTTTCAAAGCAGCATGCTTATTATGACCTACATAAACTTGTGTTCTGGTAAGGACATAAACTACAATCAGCCTGCCAAATAATTTTATCTATAGACTATTTGTCAAAGGAATTAAGCTGTTGTTTGAATCATTTAAAGCCTTGAGCCAAACAGAGCAGCATAAAATCTTTAAATCTTTCCTTCCCCCCCACCCCCCCATCAGTCACTCTTCACATTTTTTTCCTGTATTTATAGGTTTTTATCTAAATTAGATTTTATCTTGGGGCAGTGACTGAAAAATGTCCAGGAATTCATGTCTTATTAATACAACTCAGGACATAAAAAATGAGTGCATGATAGATGGAGATGTTTTGTGATTTGTGGGGATTTTGTTTTGTTTTTAGAAAAATACATATTTTCAGTAACTAAGTATATCCCCTTTTGAAGAATGCTCTTAATAATGAAAGCTGCCTACAATATTTGCACAGACTTCTTATGATTGTTTCCTCAAAGACTCCCACTGACATCCCATTTCTGTTAGTTAAAATATCTGAGAACACACTCTAATTACTGCCCTCATTAGTTGCACTGCACAGTACAGCAGCTGGGCACGTGTCAGGCAGTTTAGCTATTAGCTGTAGCAAACAGAACTAACTAGACACGGTATTGCTCTTGCATTGCTCTTTTGTGGATCAGTACTTAGCCAGAGCTACAGAGTCATCCTATTAGTAAAACAAGAAAAACAAACATATGGACACTGAAGGACACTGTTTGTACAGGCAGACTTTGAATAATATACAGTAAGTATAATGTGTGACCTAAAAAAGTTTTTTCATGCAGCTCTTCATTGCCTTACCTTACATGTAGTTAATGAAATGCTTAATTTTCTTCATATGAGCAGCTTGCAGTTTAAAACTGAAGACTAATAGTAGCAATGATCAAAATAATAAAAGTGCATTAGAATAGGACTGTTCAGAAATCTGAAATCATGAGAACTGTAAAGCAGTTAATGAAAAGAGACCCTCTTCCAGAGAACTTATAATTTGATAAGAGTAATAATAGACTTTTGTAATGCCCATAAAATCAGTGGAGGTATAAGACACAGCAGCAGCTGCCTCATTCAACATTAGTTAATTTTATGCATGTCTCATGCTATGTTATATCAAGAGGTTTTTGCATATTTAGCCAATTAGATCATAATGGATGACACAATGGGATAACTTTACTGACTGCCATTATATCTGTCTATGGATAGCTAGGTAAGCAGATAGACCAGCTGAATGAACATTTCTATACATCCTGGGGGATGTAACTCCCTACTTCTCAGGAGGTCCCAATTTGTGTTGTACACAGTGAGTTTTGCACATATCTTCTTGAACACACAGGCTTTTTAATCACATAACTCAGACAGACCAGTGTCAAACTATACATTTTTGACTGATTATAATGGCCATCTTGATCTCAGAAGAGTCTGAAAACAGCAGTATGGCTTTGTTGCATGCACAATTACCTTGTTTGTGCACAGACTGGAATATTTTTTGCATTCAAAAAACATTTCATTGATCTTCAGAACCTATTCTCCTATTAATATGGTCATTGCTTCCATTAATACGATATCTATATCTGTAAATAGTTGAAATAGATGTTTGTAAATTAACTGGAAACGTGTATTTAGATCCCTAATCTGATCACTGAAGGGTATTTTTTTTCTTTTTATAATGATCTGTTCTTCAGATGTCTATCCAGACTGTGAAAATGTAAGCTTAGACAAAAAAAAATGGACCTCTGCATTTTTGAAATATTCTTTTTTTTGAAAATAGAAATCTTCTTGTTTAGTAGTGTGTGATATCTAAATTGATTTTACCTCTGCAGATTAAAAAACTATACGACTGGAAAGGTAAACTTGTTGAAATAATATGAATATTTTTAAAAAGTCTTTAAGTAGAAGGCTATAGTATTTATAAGCTTGTGTTTTAGAAAAGTTACGTATTTTATAATTTGTCTTTTTATTCCTTTATCTAGATAATACTGCGACAGTATTAACCAAAAGAAATGGGTTTCGAAGACAGGAACAGTCTGTTTTCTACTTGCCAATATTCATAGTGGACAGTGGATCACCCTCCCTTAGTAGCACTAATACTCTCACCATCAGGGTCTGTGACTGTGATGCGGATGGCATTGCTCAGACGTGCAATGCAGAAGCTTACATCTTGCCTGCAGGACTTAGCACTGGAGCCCTGATAGCAATATTGGCTTGTGTCTTGACACTGCTAGGTATGTCTTCTTTCTGTTACCCTTGTTTTCCATTCAATGCATCGTAGCAAAAGATACATGCATATAAGCTTCAACATTCCCCTCCACCCTGATTTCTGTGAACAGGAACAGATAGTACTCAAGAAAGAGCAGCATTTTGTATCATTAGCTCAAAAAAAACCCCTTTGGATTGAGATTATCAATTTAGATAGCTTGTTTCTATATCAAGCTGCCTCCAGACAGATATAAGAAATAGCAATAAAAGAAAAAAAAAAATCATGACTTGCATCAAATGCAATATTTAAAAGATAAGACAGTTTATGGAAGCAGTTGGTTTATCATACTCACCATATAACCAGCATCAGTGTATCCGTTTTCCACAGCCATAACAGTTTTTAAACATTTATTGAATTGCATAGAACAAAAGATATTCAGAAAATATAGCAGATGCAATTTACTGCTAAGAATCATAATTAACTGACATCATCTACAGAGTGATCTTTTGTTACTTCTGCAAATGGTAGCACAGCTGGATTTTATGTTGAACATTGAAACTGCAACTAGATAAAAGGCATTTGAAAAGAGTGGAATGGTGTCAACATCCTAGTTTGCCTAGCATTTCTCGTGTAATACCTAGTCATTAAACAATAAATGGGAAAGTAAGGGGTCAAATCAAGAAATAAAGATGAAGGATAAGGTAAGCAACAGTGAAGTTTTGCTTTTTGTCTGAAAATTCATATGTTAACAAGGATATCCAGTTCAGCACACAAGAATTTTCCTCAGTGTCGCTGTCAATGAACAAATTTTTCTATTCCCTATCTCTACATACCAATCTAAGGAAAGGGAGAAGTCCACAGTCTTCTTATGTTGGTGTAATCCCAGTGGTGTTTTATCTGCCACTCTTATCAAAGTAATTTGGATAGGTCAAATCAAGAGACTTGTGTCCAAACTTCTGTTCATGGCAGCACTTCTACCACATGTAGATATGTCTTCTTTAGCACTCTGATTCATGTCGTTGGAAAACATTAGAAGGAAGTGTTCCTTCTGCTAAAATACTTCTAACGGACTCCAAAAAGGAAAAACCTGTTTCATACTTTTTTTACAGAGTAATAAAAATCACTACCTCTGCAATGAACTCAACCAACTCACCCAGTAGCTATATATACATATAGGAGGTGGCATTTCTAAAGTTTTCCATCTCCATGACATAAAAAAATCTAACACCATAAGACTTTATTCTCGCTCAACACATGGTTAGGCCTAGGTTTAAGAAATGGAAGGGAATTATTGCCAAAAGTTTTAACGAACCTTTTTAAATACCATTTTTCTAGTAGCATTTCTAGCCAATTTACGTACACAAATGAACTTTATTTGGACATGAAGCTAAATGTTAGAGTTCAAAAAGATATAAAAATGTTCCCTTATATCAACTGGCATTAGTATCAGTGAAAAAACACCCTCTTTAAACTTTAGTCCAATATACTTAGGAATAAAATTCCTGTAACCATAGCAATTCATTTGATCCTGAAATGAAATGTCACTATTTTTGTTATATATGAGAAGGGAGTTTCTGAAAATTACATGGGAAACTGCTGTAGGTACCATGTAGCTTGATCTGGTCATAAACTTGACTTAAATAGAAGCAGTAGGATTTCAAGAAGACTATTGAGTGGAGACAGCATGTTGGCACCAAATTACTTGCTTATTTTACTTGATACACCAGGGGTCAAATACAACCAGTAAACACACAAATTTGAGATTTTATTCCAGTTATTATTAAAGTGTTCTGAACAAGGGTTTGGGAAAAAAATCTTGCATATTACCACCTTGCCACTGATTTTATTTGTCAAAGACTTTGGGTTTCCAATGTCTTCTGTCTGAAGGCATCAACATTGTTTATCAAAAAAAGCCATTTGTATGTGCCATCATCACTTCCAGCCTAAACTGTTCCTTTTGAGTACAGTTCAAAGCTGCAGGAACAGGTTAGGCTGTGTTTATATGGTAACCCTGGCTTTGAGTGTTGCATTTTGATACTCTATGCTGTTTTAGTCTCGGCCACATGCCAGTGTTCACAAGGAAGAGGTACTTAAGCATCACTGATTCCCAGTGAAACTCAGCTGCTAGTCTGGTCCCAGAGCCTTTCTTTTTCTCTCATTTTATCCTAGAGTATGTTTTCTGGGAACAGCTACATGGTGATATTTCTAGGAATTACTCTTTTCCCTTTTGCTCTTTGCATACATTCCTGAGAAAAATGCTGAAGTTCCACTAGTACAGCATAAAAAACAGGCTTCAGCTGTTGGCAAGTGGTTCCAGGACTGGGACAAGAGATGCATGTTTTTGTGTAAGACTTTATCAGTGAAAAGGAATACAGTCTACCAGATCAATATCTTTTCCTAACTCGAGATTAACACGCAGTGCAAATCCAGTCACACTAATCAATGTCATCTTAATATGGGTGCCAATTGTAAAGCAGAGAAGGCATGAAATTTGCATAGAATGAATACATGCATTCTGTCTTGAATTCTCAACCAGCTCTTACTTTCTCAAAGTTAGTATGATATACTTTTTGGTCTTGCCCCATACATGTCTATGGCTGGTATATAACTATTAATCTTTACCAAGACCAGATTGTCTCAGTGGGATTTCTTAGTGTTACTACTTTTATTTAAGAAACCAATCATTTTTAGATAAGCACAATGTTTTCACTAACTCTAAGAAGGAAGAAAATTATTAAATCACACTCCTTTATAAAAATTGCATACATAGATTAATATAGACTAGTATAGACTAGGTATAGATTATTTTTTCAAAATAAAATAATTTTATAAAGTTAAAAACATTTAAAAACAAATTCTCTTTCTATCTTCATACTGACTGATGGAGTTTAAGTTGTAATTTGCATTTTACAAGAAAATGCTAGTACTTTTTTAATTTCACAAAGCAGCCTTCCAATTATGAAGTAAGGCTAAGTTTTACAGAAAGAAAAAAAATATAAAAAATAGTAAAAAGCATATGAAAAGGCAGTTTGTTTAATTTTGGACTGCACATAATTTTGAAGAAAGTAAGTAGGAATTTTTTAACTTTTCTGAAAATTATATGGTAATTTAATTCAAGGTAATTTGTTTTTCAGTTAGCGTCTTCCAGAAACAGTAATTGCTATTGTAACAACATCTCAGCATAAAATGTTTACATAAAATCACAGAAACACAATATTCACCTGTAGATAACCTAATCACATTTGAGAGGTTAAGTATTTTCTTTGTATTGATTGTATTGAAAGCTAGATTGGCACAATACCTTTTCGTTATTTTTGTCTTTCATATTTCTGAAGGTATTTTATTAGTGTCACCTATTTTCTTAGGAAGACTGAAGAAAACTTCCTATTGGTGTAGCACTATAGTTTATGAGAATAATATGTTGATAAGACTTGAAAATACAGCTTTAAGTAATTTTTTTTTCAGTTGAAAGACAGCAAATCTGTTATCATTATCAAAATACCTGCAAAACCCAAATTAAATCAGAACACATAACTGTGATTTGTAAACAAGAAGAAACAGTTTGAGTCATAAGGATCCTAGTCTCTTATTAGGTATAACGTGTACAGAATGTGACTATGTAATATTGTATGGTTTGGCCTTGCAGTTTTAAAGTGATAAATGTGTAACGGGGGGAAAACAATTAACTAGAGGTACCTAAAGCAACATTTCCAGGAAGTGGTTGAGTATGAAATGTAGCAGCTGTTTTTGGAAAGTTAGGGAGCTGATTAGGGTCACTCAGTGTGGGCATTTAAAGGTCACAGTCACTTTGCAAATATCAGTCCAAACTGATTAAACAACAGGTATAAGTGAAGCTTGTTAAGTGGGAATTAAATTCAAGTTTCCTGAGTCTTGGCCTCTGTAATCCCCAAACCTTATCTGACTGTACTGGCAACTGCAAGGTATAACTAAATAGGTTATTAGTGCGCTGTTTAGATGGCTGAGGATCTCCAATCATCAGCTTTATGAATCATGACACACCTAAGGCATAAACCAATGTGCAGATCTGCTCGCAGCTGATGTGGCTTATTGCTATAGTAAATTCCTGGCTTAGGGGTGTAGTGTATACAAAGCATGGTAATGCTTGTGATTTAGCTGTGTGCCTTTCTGTACAGCTCTGCATGTAGTCTTCTCCCTCAGGGCGTCTCATGACTTTTATGGCTTCTTTACAATTATGTTGCAGTTGCCTTCAGTACAAAAGGAAAAATTAATACTAAACCAGAGAAATATGTTCAGCTGAACTAAACCTGACTTATTACCAGATCATACCAAAATGGAAATTTCATGGTAATTCCAGAAAGCACACTGAAAAGTGGCAAAGCAAAAGTCCACTCTTGCATTCAAAGGTGTTTGCTAAAAGACTGATTTGGGTGTACTGAAACTACAAATATTAGCATTAAATGTATACTAAATACAAGGATAAAACTGTGTATTACCACAGCTAATATAAAGACAAACAAATCTTTTTTCTTGGCTATTGTAACTATTAAAGGAAATCAATATTTTTTAAAAAAATCAGGTAAACCAGAAGAATTAAAAGGTTAATTTAAATGTCTTTGTTAATTCTGGTTATTAGTTGCTTAAAATATTGATTAATTTGTTTATTTGTTACATCACATACGAAATCTGTATTGTCATCTCCTTAGTATAAGTTGGGTGTATCAGTATGGAGCCAATCTAGTGCCCTCGATGTGCAATACATATGTGCCTAAAGGTTTTCCACTGTATTATTTCTTCTCTAAGAATCATGAAATTAGGTTTTTAGAAATTCAGACAGTCCCTAATTACTAACTTAATCTCTGCTTTTGTCATAAATGTAGGAAATAAAAACCCACCAAGACTTAATGAGAAATGAAAAAACTTTAAAATCATTTGCATTTGATTTAGATAGCAGTGAAAATTGTTTAGGACTTATATTCATCTCTGCAGCTCCTGCAGTGCAGCTAAAGCTTTGTTCATTTAGAGGTTAAACTTTATTGTTCATGGCTGTTGGAAAGACTGGAAATTAATAATCTTATAAAGTCATCTAAATGCTAAAATATTTAACCTTTAGAAAGACTCCATATTTTTCTTGGCTTCAAGCAAGTGTGAGAGGTAGAAGGAACACTATATAAAACATTCATTGTATCTTGATTTTTATTGTACCTTTAGGCAGACCTTCCTACTAAGTTTCTTATTTTACACTTATTAGCATGTCTTTAACTTTCAACATGAAGTATGTTAAGAGGGACAGTAGAGTGAAAATGCATTTACACTTGAGTAAAGTAAATTATTAGCTGCTTACTTTTATGGCAATAAAAATGTAGCAGTAAATGTTAAAAATAATAATTACAAAGTTATGTCAATAGAAATCTTGGTTTAAATATCTATTTGTACTGTCAGCAAGCTAATTTCATTTTAAAAAATCTTTTACAATAAGGGAACATATTAAGAGTGGAGTGCAATTGTATCTGGTGACAATTTTATGTTCTCTGCTGTATAATTTACAGCTTAATTTGTATTATACAAATATCAGAATGTTTTGAAATTCCACAAATGTCACTTTAAAGGTCAATATTTCATATTATTAAACTGCTTATGTAAATATTGTTCAAAGCAAAATGCCCCAAACTAGTGGCTTCTGAATTCAATACATAAAGGATGAATCAGGTGGATGCCAGGGGCAAAAAATGTGAAAGGCTGATGCTGATTATATAGTACTATAGTCACAAGACATGTATTAGTAGATGGATTATTGGATATATGCTTGGTAGCTACTGAGAAAAGAGGAAAGAATTGTTGCCTAATATATTTTTCAAAAAATTTAGGGCAAAAGAAATGTAGTTTCAGTTTTATTTTTAGATGTGTGGCTCCGAAGGGAAATAAAAATAGTGCAGAAAGGCATCTCCAGCTTTAGCTGGTTCTAAATATTACCATAATATCTGTAGACAGCTTTCTTGCATGTGCAAGTTACTGGTTTATTCTAGCCAAGTGGTCATTATATTAAGTCATTCCTCACAATGACTAGATTGATACTGATTTTAAGATTCCTCCATGAAAAGGCTTTCAAGAATGATAGTCCTGCATCATGCAATTTGTGGAGGCCACTTTTGGGAGTACCTAGGGAACCTCAATCTTAATTTTATATCTATCACTTTTTAGCTTTTGCTTTTCCATATGTTTCTACAGCATTTAATTGACATTGTAAGACTGAAAATGTTATCAGTGCACATAATCACATATTCTTAACATTAAAAATAATCATAAAATCAGAAGAGGTTAATTAAATGTGGAGTGACACTTTTCAATATACTGTTATTTTTACAATCACAGTGATGCCTGTGATTTCCTAGGACTGGCATTAACTCAGCAAATGTTATCCAGATGCTGCAATATAGTATTAATTATTTTCTAGGTGGATGATTCACACTCCATCATGTCTCACAGATAGGTGCAATATTCATAGTATTGGTTCCATAGTCTGTGTGTCACCAGTGATGTTTCTCTAACAAAACTGTATTAGAATAAGAGGAGCCTTGAGCTAGTTTCTTGCAGTGCTTTTGGCTAGTACTAACTGCAGTTTAGTATTAGCTCTCAAGCTGAAAGAAACTTTAAGAGCTAAAATTAAATAGCCAATTACATTTGCAGTACTGGTTCATCCAGTAAACTCTAGCCCTAGCAGTTCTCATTAGATATAAGGCATAAATTTCAAGTGCAGTACTTTGCACTTTTCAGGAAAGTGAGATCTTATATAGAGATGGTTTTATTCCATGAATTAAGACAGTCTTATTTTACACATTGCTTAAAAATTCAGTGTTCTCCTATATAATTTTTTTTTAACTTTATTTTTATTCAACAAATATTGGTGCAGTGACTTTAGTTGAGTCACTTCCCAAACTACATTTTTTTATTTCTGTTCCATCAATTTATGAATATGCTTTTACCCCTTGGGCATTTAAGGGTTCAGGTAAAGGTATTTTTTTTTAATTATTTTTTTTTTTTTAGTTGTTATAATTTTTTGGTTTGAGATTGTCATAGTCAGATTGAACTAGTATTGAAATTTATGTTTAGCAGACAATATAGAATATTAGAATTCGAGATGAAGATGCTATACCTAAATGATTTGGGAAATAGATTCTTTAGTCCAAAAAGCTTATGGTTTAAACGTTATTTCATAATCTGCTAGGTTTCACGTCTAATCACATAAATTACTTGCTATTTCCTTTGGTCTTTGCCATATAAATTAATAAGTACTTCCAACATTAGGAAAATACAAGAAAACTTCAGCACTGCTAAAGCTCTAACTTTTATTTTTTCCAGTTCTTGTCTTGCTGATTGTCACCATGAGGCGACGGAAAAAAGAGCCCCTCATTTTTGATGAAGAGAGAGATATCAGAGAAAACATTGTCAGGTACGATGACGAGGGTGGTGGAGAAGAAGACACAGAGGCTTTTGACATGGCTGCCTTGAGGAACCTCAACATCATGAGGGACACCAAGACCAGAAGGGACGTGACACCTGAGATTCAGTTCTTGAGCAGACCAACTTTTAAAAGTATCCCAGATAATGTCATTTTTAGGGAATTTATCTGGGAAAGATTAAAAGAAGCTGACGTGGACCCCTGCGCGCCACCCTACGACTCCCTGCAGACGTATGCATTTGAGGGGAACGGCTCGGTGGCAGAGTCGCTCAGTTCTTTAGATTCCATCAGCTCAAACTCTGACCAGAACTACGATTACCTCAGTGACTGGGGCCCTCGTTTTAAAAGGCTTGCAGATATGTATGGGACTGGACCAGACTGCTTATACTCCTAGCCTTGGAACCTTTCTCTGAAAATGCACTGAAGAATATTAAAACAGAAAACTCAACCTGACAGACTGAGGAAAGTTGTAAATATTTCTCCATTTTTAAAATTTTAGGTTTTTTCCTTTTTTTTTTTTTTTTTCTTCTTTCCTTGGTGGAACATATCTTCATTAGACCTGTCCTAGGGACTGCACTGACCACACAGAATATGAGCGTTTGGTGGCATTTTTGATAAAATGAAATGCTCGGCCACGTTCAAATAGATAGCAACCCTCAAATACCTGCAGAGACAACTCACTTTTAAGAGTATGTTATACAGTCACCTCAGTGAGCTGGTGATACGCTGTAGATGCCTTCACAGTATTGCTATATTGAGAATGCAGAGTCTCTGTTTTAAGAAGAAATAAATTTTAAAATATATAACTAAATACAATATCAATAAAAATAATACAGTTCATGGTATTTACACAGGCAAGGGTTTTTTAGCAAATTTTCTTTACTGTGTGCATACAGCTTACCAGAACAAAAGCAGAAGAACTGATGAAAACAAAGAAAAGCCCAGGAAATCTTTTTTTGTGTTTCTCCTTGTTTGTTTTCAGAGCTATTTAATTAGAAATCTCTTTAATTTTCTGGGTAGTTTTCGAGAAAATATTGTTATTACTAAGAAATTCCACAGTGTGTCATCAACTTATGAAGTAGAAGAAAATTGACATAAAATGATAAATATGGACATGTAATCTTATGGTTGGGAAGTTTTGTGATGCCCATGAAGGTATAGAAAAGGTGTTGCTATCTATTTGCTATTTTTTATTCTCTCTTCTGATTTGTACAGGAGAATTTATCCTTTTTTATTATTGTTTGACATAAAGTGTTGTATTTATTTTGGAACTCCAATCTCCACTAAATTCAGGTCCATTTTACTGCCTCATGGTTTTAGACTTGTCAGAACATGCTGATTTTTCTCCAGTCTCAGATAAATGTAGGAAATGAAGCATGGAAGTGGAGAAATTACAATAAACAATGCCACCCAGCATTCACCCACAGAAAGGAGAGCAGCTCCAAGGATGTGCAGTTGTTCTTCTGAGCCATTACAAAGTCTGAGACATTTAAAGAGAATATTTGTACATTCAATTTTTTGAAAGAAGACTGCAGAGGTAGCTGGGAGTGTCTTTAATGCAAGATTTAATTTTCAAGGTTAAACATGCTGTAGACTTCAAAGACTGTAAACACCTTGCTTTTCTCCTTCCCCTTCTCTTTTGCTGCTGAGGAATCACAGTAAAAGATTTTTCTATTTCTTTCTTATGTTAAGCAATGTAATACTCTTAACTTCAGCAGTCATCTTTAGATCCTGCTGCACATAAGTATTATTTCCCCAAGGTGTTAACTCACTACACATAATTTCTATGCTCGTTCAGGAGTGCCAAAACAGAAGGAAAACTATAGTTGGTTAATATACTGTATGATTTTGAAGTAGGATTTCTTAGAATAAGACAACTTTTTTATGATTCTGACAATATTTATACTTCATCTTTCATGATTTATTACTACATAATAAGGCATATATTCAAGTAAAATAGTGGGTTTAGGTATTCTTTCAGGTTTTTTTTTTGTTTTAGATACAATGTAGATGAGTTCCTAAATTAGAGTCTGTTCCTGCAAATTTTTTGCTTGTACCTAACTTGAAATGACTTGACCTGCCTACAATTACTGAAAGGTACACAGAATTGTTTACAGAACTGTATTTGTGAACAGAAGGTGCTCCACAGAGGATGATGCTCACTCTAAAAGTACTTCTTTCTGAGAGAAGGATCCTTGTACTGAAATTCTAATGTATGAGTGATGTGAGGCTGGGGGATGGGAAATTATCATTAAGGCTTTGTAATTTTTGCAGCCCAGCATTATCAATTAACTATGTGAAAGTGGCCTTCAGCTCCAACAGAAAAGAAAAATAATTTTAATCATCTACAACATAATTTGAGTTACATTTTAATAGACAATCATTGTTTCATAATTCAGTAGATTTGCTTCTAGTTGTATGAAATATATATATATAGGCATATATATATATATATATATGACAGATTTTGTAATGGAACTGAAAGATATCGTCCATGACTTTTAGTCATACATGTAAGATTTTCAATAAAAATATTAAAAAATAGAAAAAAAAAGAACCATGTGTATACAGTTTAATGAGAGCAAGATATGCTGCAGAATTCAAGCAGGTATTAAGTCAGCAAGGTTCTGAAAGAACAGTTTTTCATTAATCTCCTTGTTCTTTGTGGGAAGATAATTCATGCATCTGGATTAAAATGTCAAAAATGCTGATTTTAGCACATAGCATTCACAGGAGCTTTAAATGTGGTTTAGAGTAAACAGCCCAATTTCCTTGGTTTTCCACCCTCTGTATCTGTAAAAAACCCAAAAATCTCCACTATTAAGAAACTATGTTAGGGTGGGGGTTTTTTGGTGTGATTCCTGCAGAAAAAAAAAAAAAAAAAGGTTTATTCTGATACCATAGAAACTCTTGCATATATATATGTTTTCTGTTGCACAGTTCTAATCTAATTAAGTTTACAGTTATGTTCTACATGCTTGCCTACTGATAGTGCTGTTGCAGTGAGAAAGGAAGGTGGAAATCCCTTGTGTTTGAAGACAGATATTACTCTAGAATATACATAGGATGTGCGTAATATACACACTATATAATGCTCATCAAAAATTACCGCGATTATAGGTTTTTACAGTTTGTAATCTGATTCAAATTCTTTCGTTGAGTCTTATTTGTGTTGCATAGCTGGATGGCATCAAGTATATTCTACTGACTAAATAATATAAAATATAATATAAAATATTAGGTAATGAAATTATTTGGGAAAATTAATTAGAACAGCCCCTTAAAAAGACTCCCAATCATATTTATTTATTTAACTTTCTGAACAGCTTCGGTATAAACTAGAGGCCATAAATCCTAGATAAAAATATGTCAAACATAAAAATGACTCCCATCTTATAGTGGAATAACTTTGTCTTTCCTTCTGCCATTTAACAATTGAATAGGCTTATTTTAAATTGAGAATTCCAAGAATCTTGAAAAGTGCAGAGTTTTAAGAGTACTACTAGAATAACCTTACATAAAATTAATCTGTTTGAAGAAGACTTATGGTAAAGACCTCTTCCTCTGTTTTGACCAGTGTGAAATCAACTGAATTCAAGAGACTCAAAGAATGGACATTCTGACTTATATTCCTTATTCAAAAGAATAAATTTAGTGTACTTACTCTAGGTTATATTCCCACTAAGACATAGCACAGGCCTTCCTAAGCCTTCTAGTTCTGATGGTTGCTTAGTACAATCACTGTAAGTGATTGCACAAAGTTCACACATGAACTTTGATGGTACCAACTCAAATTTCTCATACTCCCTAAGAATTAGGGGAGAGAAAAACCCAACTTCCTTTTTACTCTTTCTTTTATTTTCTGCTTCAAAAGGGAGAGGGACAATTCATTATAATGTCCCTTTTTAGTTAAGGTCTTTTCTCAATTTTTTTTTTTGTTTACCCTTCAAGTGCTAGCAACAATTAATAAAAATGTTTCCTATATTTTTTCTCTTAGACATTTTGGATGAAAACATGTTATAAAATATATCTTATTTTTATGGACAGATACTCTTGTATGATATAAAGAAAAGTCATAGCTTGTCATTCTGAAAAGGAAATAAATATGAATATAAATCAAGCAAACAATTACATTGGCTTTTAAGATCCTTAAAGAGTTGAAAGGTGAGCACGATTACCTATATCAAATCTAGTATTAAATTCTTGGTTGCAGTCTGTCATGTGACTGATTTTAATTTTTTACATATAGATTTTTTTTGTCTACTTTAGAATCTTTGCAGAGTAGTACTGCTTTGAGGCATTGTTGGCTTCACCTCATTAGCGATAGAAGGGGTCAAGTATATTTTTACTGGTCTGTGACACTAAAAGCAAATTGCTAAAGGCAGAAATGTCACTTTATTTGACAGAAATGGGAAAGTCTACAAGATACCAAGAGCTCTAAAAATTGCTTTCTTAACTATGCCATCCTTAAGTCTGCCAGATCAACAGCTAAGTTTTTCAGATACATCCTAAGATATGTTTTCACCCCGGAATGATTCCTTCCACACCAATAATTATTCTTCAGTTCACTTTTAATGCAGCTAAAAATATATTTTTATTATATATTTTATTGTTTAATATTTTTTCTTTACCTTATCATTCTATTCCCATATTCTTTTCCAATTATGTCTTGAATGCCTAGATCATTCTACCTGAGACCTGTGAAGTTGTTGTGGTTTGGGAGGGGGTGAGGTTTGCTTGTTTGTTTATGTTTTTGTTAGTGTTAAAATTGGTATTCTTGCTGGAATGCTTATGTTTGAATGACCTGACCTTTTTCATTGAATTTATTTGGTTTGTTTTTCTTTGGTCAAAAACATGCCAGCCATGTATGTCCTGACTTTTCTTCTATTTTGACTCCAAACCCACCTTTTACTGTATTGTTAATAGCAAAAAGAAAGTCCTGAGGTGTTCCCTCTCTTTGATGTCAAGAAGCTGTGAAGAAAAAGATAAACAGAGGATCAACAAACTGCAGTGAAACTAATCTGTCATTTTCTTAAAACACAAACTCACAGATTCCATACTTAAGCTGGCATTAACACCATTCAAATAAAGACATGGATCGCATCTTGAAACTTTAAAATATTCCAGCATTATTGTCAGCAATTTTTACACATTTAATGAAATAATATTTTAGAATTGTCAAGGTTTGTTACCTGTAACTCAGTTTCATCATAATTATTTATGTCATGATGTAGATGCACAGAAGAAGAAGAAAAAAGTGCAAAGTAAAACAGCCCCAGTACAAGAAGCTCCTATATGCACTGACATTTAATGCAGCTTTTTAATTACTGCTCTGCTTTAGTATTCCTCATACACTGGTAGCTTTTCCTTTCTTTGAGACTAACTACTAGTAAATTAAGATAGTGTGATATCGAGCCAGATATTCAAGCTGCATTAGACCATTTGAGTCTGACAAGAA